TCTCTCTGCCCCCCAGTTTTGTACACATAGAAACGCCACTGCCAGTAATTATTGTTAATGTTGAAATGTTTAACCAATCATATTTTAGGCAGAATGTGTTGCTGGGTCAAATAAATCGGTAGCACTTTACAATAAGACTACCCTTATAAAGGGTTTATGAATAGTTTGTAATTCATTTATTAATGAGGTTGTGAACACTTTATTTAACATTAATAAGCTTTTATAAGACATGAGATAAACAGGGCAACTGTGACCAGTTGCTTGCCAAATAGTGAGCCCACATTTATCTGTACTGTTAAGCCTTATATTAGCTACTTAGCTTACTTCGTCTCCTTCATCAGCAAGCATCCTTGGTATCTGTTGTTCACTGAGTTGATTCTCGCTAAGTAGCCAATATAAGGCTTAGTCATCTTTCCAAATAGTGAGCCTGTGTTGATGTATGAAAACTATGTTAGAACTGGTTTATAAATGGTTCTTAATGATTAAGTGTACAACCTAATTCATAACCTAATTATAAACCCTTTATGAGTCCTTTATAAGGGTAGTCTTATTGCAAAGTGGTACCAATACATCTGCCTTCAGAATCAACAGTGCAGGCCTTGTAGCTTAAAATAAATGGCAATGAAACTGTTGCATTGACCAATCAGATTTCATGTTGGCGACACCTGGGTCATCTTGCAGGTGTAGATGAGGTCTGCATTTTCACGTCCTTTCATTGGATTGACAGCACTTGCGAACACTACTGTGTGTAGCAGTAGCTACATCATCTGTAGTGTCCTTTGCAACCTGCACAAGGTCAAATATTTGCATTTAGACTTTAAAGTTTTTTTTTAAAACCACAATGTCTGACAGAGGAGGAGAAATGGACTTGGTGAAACTAGCAAGCCTGTCGCAGCCGGGGAAAGGGTTTGTCCGCCACTTCCAATTCACTAACTACAGCGGTACCTCTCAGCCTCTGAGGAGCACTGCACACTGTATCTCTGGGAACGCCTGATATTCACATCCACTTACAGGGTTTGCAAACTTGAGTTGTCTAACCAAGGCAGCGACTAGACACCAAAGACTTGCCGGAAACTTACAAGCAACGGTGCTTTTGAAAACTTTTGGGGAGGCCCGACTTGATCCACAGCTTAATGAAAAAATGCACAGGGAAACAGAGCTCCATTATGGTTTTTACCAGAAATACGACTGGACAGACTGGACTTTAGCATTAGCCTCCATGGTGATAGAACAGGACTTATCATTGGAACTGAAAACACAGATCATCTGTACAACAGAGTAACTGAACTCTTCTTGAGGAAAGAATACAGGATGGATTTAGTGTACAAATAATCTAACGTATTGGTGAGTATATTATAATTACTTTTATTTCAATGTTTTGATATTTTCTTGTCATTTTATTAAGTAAATATTGGTGCTTCTGCTAGAGAGTATGTGGCTCAGCTGTGGCTGCAGTGAAAGGAGACTTGTTGAATTGTGTTATTTGGGTTTCCTGCTTTAGTAATGGCATTCATTCCTCGATACATTACATACCTGTCTGTGATGCAACGCCCTGTTATACTGCGTTTATGTATTATATAAACGTTTTTTATAGCCATGACGTCATAATGATGGTATTAAGAGGTGGATTTATTCAGGTAGGACACTACTGAAGGCAAAGGTGTGAAATGCTACCGGTTAATAGACATTTTCTTTCTAGACATGTAATCATGTTTGAAGTTGAAATTTAGATTTTATTATGAAATACAATTTTCCCTTTTTTGAGAAACTAATTTGCAAAACACAAAATGACAATGTGAAGTCAGAGTTGAAAATACTCTTTTGAACTGAACACATATATTTGCTTCCTGTCATTTTGTGTCACTGGAGCAAAACAGCTCTGGCTCAGTTTGCAAAGACAAACTTCAAATTTAAACACATCCACAGACAAATAATTTACATTACATACAGATACAGCAAATACAGGAACATACACAGAAAGAATGAAACATCATTTGAAAGCCTGGGGAAACATTTCTCCTGTCTGGCTAACATAAGCCCAACACAGTATGTCACAGTTTAATGTGTTTCAGAATAGTAAAACTAGCACACTATCATACTATGAAGTTAAGTTTGGTAACATTAGTTTTTTCCCAAACATATCAATCCATCAATATTTTTTTATTTAACTTTGTGTTGTAAAAAACCCGTAGAACATATAAGAAAAACTAGATCAACTACATTTAGAAGTTTGAAAGAGAGATTTAAACAACACGTGGTGAAAGTTAAACATTATCTTATTGGTAGCGTCTCCATTCTTTGGAAACTGCTATTATAAAGGCAAATAGACACGATATTTAGATGAAGATATAACTCCTGATTTTATATAATGCCCAACAGCACCCACATTTCCTCACAGCTTATGTTTGGTCCATTAGGTTTATTTTGTACTGAATTTATTATGAAAGGTTTCCTACGAGATAAACTGATAATAAAGATCATGTTCATTTCAGATGATAAACATTTATTTTAAACAGCTTTTTGATACTGTTCAAATAAATGTAAAGTTTTAACTACAACTGAATATATAATCTTTGGTTAGCATATAATAAATTCACCAAGCAAGCTTATGAAAAACGATGTTGAACTTGTAAACTATTACTTTTCTATTGTAACACTGTCCTTCAAAAGACAGCTATGACAATTATAAACCAAATCACTGCCTATGAAATTATATATTGAAAGTTATTGAATCCAGATATGTTTACATTTGAAAATGGTAAGGTAAAAAACAAAACCCCAACATGAAACTATCTCAAAGTTGTTAAAAATTAAGGAAAAACCTATATGGGTGTTATACAAAATGTAATGTAATGTCAACCTATTTTTGTGAGGAAAAGTGTAACGGTATGCCCCATACAGCAGCAGCAGAGTTCACCCTAAACATGACGATACTGGGTTGACTAGATGGAAAATCAGGATTTGGATACAAAGCGAAAAGCAAAAGCACCAATGTGGCAATATTTTGGGTTTAAACCCAATGCTGATAACGTTAATGAGGCAATTTGTAAACTTTGTCTACACACATAGCAGCTGCGTCACACATTCCAACTCTTACAAGGATTGAAGTCCCTCTTAACAATGCTTTTATTCAACCATAAGCTCCACAGTGCAATTTTGTAAAATGTCCATTGTTACAAGTTATGTAACAGTATCAAAATGTTAATAAGCATACCATGTTGTGCTTACATTCACCTGGGCTTTACATTCTGGCCCACTTCGAAACAGATAATAAGTGGGATCTTAACAGTTATAAATATCTTCCTTTTTCAGTTTTTCTCTTAACATATCAGTCAGCTGCTGAACAATTCCTGCTGGTCCTTTAGTTGTTCTTCAGGGTTCTCTATTCAATGTTGAAATTGCACAGTTGCGATCCTCCATAGGTGAAAGCTACTTGTTTTAGCCCCTGTTCTGGTTACACTGTGGTTGTACGGGAGGCATATGTCCCATTGCGAAACACCATATCAGAAGCCATACAGTCCTTGGGAAAATCCAAAGGGTTACATGCTGTTTGTCTCTTCAAAGCCACAGCACAGTAATCCACTTGTTCCGCATCCAGCCCAGACTCCAGCCAGCGGAAACACACAATGCGCTGGAAGGAACGCCGGAAATTGTCAGAAACAAAGCCGTACAGGATAGGATTGGCGCCGCTGTTAGCGTAGCTGAGGATGACGAACAGCTGAGTCACCATGGGGTCTGGGGGCCTGTGGAAAACGCTGACCAATTGGACGATGTAGAAGGGCATCCAGCAGATAACGAACACAGCCACGACCAGCAGCACCATCCGGGTGATCTTCTTCTCCGAGCGCCGCCGTTGAAGCCAGCCTGCTTTTAGCCCAACAGCTCGCATCCTGGCCACCATCAAACAGTAGCAGAGGCAAATGGCCCCGACCGGCAGTAGAAACCCCAACAGGAAGGTGTAGACCACAAATGCTTCTGACCATGCAGATTCAGGCCACAAGAAGTTACAGTCCACCCCACCATCCTGTGCTGGGACTGTGTCTGCGAAGATAATGATGGGCAGGATGACTATCAGTGACAGCCCCCATACGCACACATTCACCACTTTGGCCACAGTGGGTCTGCGGTAGCGGGCCGCCTTTATAGGGTGGACCACTGCTATGTAACGGTCCACACTCAACACAGTCAGACAGAAGATTGATGTAAACATATTGATTCCATCTACGCTGAGCACCAATCTACACATCAGCGAACCGAAGGGCCAATGGCGGACAGCAGCCGATGTGGCCAGAAAAGGAACACTCAACATGAACAACTCGTCAGCAATAGCCAAGTTGAGGATATAAATGTTAGTAGCTGTTTTCATTTTGGCGTATTTTAGAATGACGTAGATGACCATGGCATTGCCAGTAAGACCGACGCAGCAGACAAGAGCATAGATGGATGGAATTATGATTTTACTGGCATCAGGCTCCTGGTAGTAATCCTCATAGTCCATGCTTGTGTTAAAGGGCAGCCCTGTTGGATAGGACCCATAGTCCTGGCTCCCATTGAAATCCATTTTCAACGTTAGTAGTATATGATGCTTTAAGTTTGAATGATGCTAGCTAATGGTGCTATAAAGACCTGTCAAGGAAAACTGTGTGCTTCTTGGAATTTGTAATACCTCTGATTATCCAAGAAAGAAAATGTCCATTGTTCCGTTTTTTCACCATCCATAAGTCCTTGAGTTTCCTGGGTCTCTGGTATATTTAGTGGTCAATCAATTCTTATTAAGTCAAACCTTCCATATTTCAATATGACAGAAAAAATTGGGTTTGCAGCGGCTGCATAATAACCTTGACATCATCGATCTGCAAGTACAGCTCTCAAAATACTCTCGGATTTGCAGGATTCTTTGTTGGCAATCATGTATAATTTAATTTAAACGAATAAACATCATATTGCCTGTTTTTTTCAGGGTAGTAGTAAGTGCAGAGTTCTGATCAAAAGAAACTTCATACCACTTGGATAAACAGCACATACAAAGCACTCCATCCGTGGGTTGAAATGTTTTTTTTTATCAGCGGGTCAAATCTCATTAAGTGTCCAATTATAGGTTTAGTTGCTTTGCTCCCGCACTCATGTAGTCTTGTTGAGTCGCACAGCCTTGCAGAGTGGGATGAAATCACAAGGTTTCTGCTGTAGCTTCCTTTCAGGACACATTGTTCTCCCCTTTCTGTGATCTTAGGAAAATGAGGGGAAAAACAAAGAACTGTCACTTAGTTGGCCTCGAACATACACCGAGCACAACATCAAAGTACAAAGAGTCATACCTGAGAGGACAGAGTTTGCTCTGTTGTTTTCTGAGACATCACTGCATTAACAAGGTAAGCATGAAGGCATTTCTGTGTTTGTAGGTATTATTATTTTTTAAGTTTTATATTTAAAGTTATAGTAGGGGTCCCCAGAACATAGAAACGGCCAGATGCTAACTGGTTTATGTTGGGCAATTTGCACAATTAGCATCAGTTTTGTAGCATGAATTACAATAAAAGCCCATGTGGAAAATAGTTTGAAAAATGGCTTGGCCGATTTGGACAATTTTGGTGTGGTTTTGGGGTTATTGAGGATGCTGAGCCCATTTCTGACATTTTCAGTATATAAAAAATGGCAGTTCAACCAGGAAAAGACAATATTTGTACTCTCTGGGCTTATTTTTGATACATTTTTGGTCGATTTGGAAGATTTAGGGGACTCTGGATTATTTGGATTTGACAGATTGCCTATTTATTTGAAAAATAATTTTCCACAGTATAGATAATCATGTTTATCTTGTGCTCTCTATATCCAGTGGTTGCAACACTATTCATGCTATTCAAAACCAGCTCATCGAGAATACAAATATGGCCACTTTCTGGTCAAAACTGCCCTTTTAGATCCCAAAAATTCAGCATCCTCAGTAACCCCCAAACCCAGCCCAAATTGTCCAAATTAGCCTACTGTAGTTATTTTGTAACAATTGCTTATACAGGTTACAATACAATTCATTTTAACTAACACAATTTATGCTAATTGTGCAAACTGCCCAACATATGCAAGTTAATGCAGTTTATATGTGCTGGAGACCCTACTATACATTTCAACTTGCACAGGTTCACTATGATGGTTAGACTAGACTAATATCATTCTTCCATTTTTTATTAGTGAAAAATCATTCTTGTTCATTATTGCTCATGTTTCACACATCAAAACTGCTTCCGTCATGCTGTCTCATCAGTCTTTGGTACATAAGTCTGTGCAAAGACCTGTACTGTAACTGCGTCTATTACCGCCACATCCTGTCTATACTGAATGTTTGGCTGAACACTATTTCAACATCTATAAATTATATCAGAACACACATATAACATTGCTCAATAAAGGGTGGTCATAACAAAAGGGCTCCCTACAACACTAAAAGGTAAACCTGCATCTATTACTAGCAAATGACTTCCATGAAACCACAGTGCCGTTCTGGGCTGTTTTAAAAAAATGTCCCCAAGCAGTGTTTTTCTGGTTCAGAATAATGCTGCAGCAAATGACTGATATCCTGTTGTGTACATCGACATCATAAGCCTGCTTTACACATTTTTATACAGCATTCATCCACATATTCACCAACAGTCAATGTATGCATTTTCGCTTGCATGGTATAGTCATATAGACCCTCAATTATTCATTCCTGAACAGCAAGGGGTTTTGCTTCTTTTGTTGTGAACAGCTGCGAAGTAGTCTTACCTCTGAGAGACTCTTTGGAGAATTACAATGGTGTACAGTGTTTCGTAGTGGAAGTGATTGTCTGAGAGAAAAAAGCCAGAATAAAAACTACAAAAGAAACTAGACACAAGTGTTTAATTATTTTAACCTATTTCTCCAATGAAAAGTTTGCAGCTGAACTTTGTGATTGTTGTCTTTCAAAGCTTTGGAGCTAGTTTTTTAGTTTAAATCTGGTCTCTGTAGGTCTAAGCAGATTTCTTGATGGTACAGGATGTTCTTCAAGGTCTACCCTGGTGGTATCATGGTATCGTTTGGTCTTTAATATTCTAAACTAGCTTTTTGAGTCTAATTCAAATAATACACTTGATAGTCTTTCTTTGTTTTTACTAGTATCACTGATCTTTAGATGGTCAAAGTCTTCGATGGTCTTATGATTGTATTCAAGATGGTGTACTGATAAATCTCTGACTTCCTTGGAAAAGTTAGAGCACATGGCGATCTTGCAAAGTGAAGTCACATTATTCTTTAACGGGATGGTATTAGGGCTACATATACATATTTCTACAAGAAGCAAGCTCACCCTCATGGATCCCATGAGACTGGGCTCTTAAGAGTCTGATCCTATCGTACTGAATAATTGCTGAGAGAGTTCTTAGTAATCAACATTTCTTTGCTGCTTTCTTTCTTGTAAAGTCTTTGAAACATTGACAATTTAACACAGCAAAAATGCATCATTAAGTCATTATATTCTGAAGCATGTTAGATAAAGAACATTCCCCCTGTTCCCACATGCAGCCTGAAACACTGGAGACACAACAGGGTGACATAAATTGGGAAATGAGCTCTGGAAAACAAACCCTGCCCCCTACCACTCCTGAAAGGCCTCAATGGTTCTCCAGATGTAGCACTCCAGATAGGATTCCACCCAGCGGATTCCAACCAAAAACCCAGCGGATCCCAGTGGCTGGGGGTGTTGCCAAATTGCTAAGAGGGCGTTGCCAAATTTCCCCATTTGTTCAATTACAGGATTTAACCATGAGATGGCGCTTCATTCACAAATACACAAAGAACTTAGTCTGTTTGCAATGTTTGCAGCTCTGCAGTTGTGTTTGCTGAATACTGTGGCATTTAATCACTTATTTGTTATGGTTTTCACAGGCTACTATAACGAAAAAACATCAATATTTTAGATCAAATAAAGTATATCTAATCTTATTATCTTAATTGTAATTCAATAAGATATAGTCTTTATATATTAAATAATCATAATAATAATGTAAATGTTTACACTTATTTATTTGTTATGCTCATACTTTTACCTTTACAATAGTTTGCTTTAATATGCAGTATATTTTTTGTAATATTGTTGTGGTGTACACAGTACAGTAGATCAAAGTAAATCAACTCATACATTATCAGATATTATACAGTACTGTGTTGTATTATTAAGTCATATCATACATTAACCCCATTATAGCAGATGCCACATTGAATGGATGAACACATTTATGCATCAATAATTACAACGGAGTATTTCTAAATATAAGTTGTACAAATTATATGTATTTAATACTAATAACATAATTATTAATTTTACTTTCAGATGATAATACTTTTCACTTGGGCTATTGACAATTTTGAATGCAAGACATTTGCTTCTAACATGTCTTTTTACCTAGGTAAATCATCGGAATACTTCTTCCACCTCTGATTTTAACCTGTCACTGTTTTTAAAACTTTAATTAAATGTTTGATATTTCCAGAGACCCTTTCAGACCGGCAATGCTGCCCTGCATGTAATTCTGATAGTCCATCGAAATGTGACAAAAGTCAGAATTCTCCCATCCCCCTTGGGAGACTTTCACCACACATTCCGATGGGCAATTAGTTTTAAACAAAGAGTCCGCAACATAGGCTACTATCTCTTGTTAACAGAGGGGGGATGGTAGAGCTTTGTCACACCGTTTCAGGGTTAATGAATAATGGATAGGAGAATTCAAAAGGATTTAGGAGAAGAGTCTGCAGTGCTTTGAGAATCCGACTGCACTTACATACACTATCTACGTATTTATGATGCACCAGCGGACGTCATGAATGTGCGTCTACTGCTGTGGGGAAACTGGAAACTACAGTTTTCTATACAGTGGCACTTACATGATGTATGGCTATAATAAAGAACAACACAACCCAGCGCCGTATTCTAATATACTATGATAAAGCTCCCCACTTGTTGTACCTGGCAGAGCAAGAAACACTCCAGCCTTTTTATTTAAACTTGTTTAAACATATCTAAATAAATATGTGTTTTCCCGGGGCCGGCGTAACCGAATATTCTCCGTCAGATGACAGGATTTTTTCTAACAATGCCGGAAAATCTGAAAGCCATCGGCTTTTGACGGATTGGAAAAAAAGTTACACAGCGCCAAAATGCCCACCAGGGGCCCATATTTATTACATCCTAGTGGCCAGTAGTAGACTGAAGGCGATCTACTGTACCTGTGTTCTGTATAACTTTTATTTGGTCATTTCAGGTCCAGTGTGGCCGCGTCCATTAATTCTGTTCCTGGTTTGTTGTATATTAAGGATCTATCCAAAAGGGTTTAACGGTAAGCTTGTCACTCAGTGGGGGGTTGTTCTTGGCTTATAGGCCAGTAATTGGTATAACATCATCATGTGATGATGACTCTGAGAGCTTGCAGTTTCACTCAGACTATTTGATAAACCTTGGGATATGATATTTTTGTAGCCATTCGTGGTGGAAGGCATCATCCTGTGCTATTTGTATGCATTATTTTTGACCCAACAATTATTACAGGCAAAGAATATGTGCACTATTTATCACATGAATATTCCATTGTCTATTTGTATACCCACTAGGCTGCAAAAATGACCGGCTCCTTGTTACAGGCGGGTACTTGTTTAGACCCACTGGGCAGGGCTCTGTTTTGCCGTGTGGTATCCTGGCACCTAGGCCGCAGAGGGTCATATTTGTCAGCGCTTCATTGTCAATTTGGCGACATAA